TTGTAATTCATACCTACATTTTTAAGTATATTTAACATCTTGTCCCATTTCTATCAGTAGCGTCATAAAATGCAGTATTCATAGTGATACACCCTTTGCGTAGATAAGCCTCGTGAGATTCATATGAGACAGTGTGACTGATTTAGTTGGGATCCTAGCTGCAAAAACTCTAGTCGAAAGCCTTACGAAAAGTTCGCAATTCCACCATCTGCCTTATGTAAACATCAAATGTAGGAGGTCTTCTTGGACAATCCTGTGGTTATCTGTTTGTGGGCCAAATTAGAAAAGTATCAACTAGCACAATGCGATTGATTTTCTCAAAACCTTGTAGCAATTATTTTTTTCCTTACAAAGGTCTCATGCAGCGTTCATACTGGAGGGGGAATGATACGAGACAAAGCCTTAAAAGCCCCGTTATACACCTTATTGGGGCTCATGTAAGACTAATCTCGTTGACACCCTATCGCCCCCATTCCAAAATTCTAGACTGTAGCACAAAGTTGTTTATCACGGAGGTATACACATTGGTATGGTGAGTTCTAGATTCAGCTTGACAAGTTGATATCACTGCAAGGCCTTGTCAAACAATATGAAATACTATAGTTAGAAGTAATTGTCTATAGATGGTGATATATTTGCCAGTTACCTGACATTAATGATCTTGTTGGAGTGGAGCAACTTCAGTTTGGGAGGTGATTTATGGAAACTATTTGTGGTAAATTAATAAGAAGCAGTTCGAGCGCCATTAAAAGCTTACCATTATTTAGTTAATAAAATAATTGATAAGGCAAAATCCATTTTTTGTATACGTCACTAAAGTAACTTTTACAGGTTGCTATAAATGTCTACTGCTATTAACAGTGCCTTTCAAAGAAGTCCACATACAGTCTACTCTTTTTTTATCATATTCTTAACCAAATGTACAATGTGATAGATACTGTGAAACAAAATGACTATTCATTTTATTGTTCAGTTTTCAGACATATTAAAGTGGTTACATGACAACAGATGTTATTATTAATAAAATACTTAATACCTAAATTAAATCGAGTTCCAAAATTTGATAATCGAAATAAGAGAGCATTAATTACCGTGCTCCAAGTTGGTTGGTATTTTAATAGCAGTCAAATAAAATCTTAATGAGTTCAGGAATTAATTTGCGTCCAGACTCATAACTCTTAGTTTCTGCGGAACCATGCACTCGCGGAGGCAGTTTGTCTTCGTCTTACATTAAAAATATTCCTTTCATGTCGTTAATTTTCCCTTCTTTTCCAGCACGCGAGGATGAAAAAAGAAAATTTAAAAGCTCATTAAAAACAACTTTGAGGAGACACAGAACCGTTTCGTCATTACGACTTAAACGTTATATAAACACTTTTAATTACTTGCTGCAGTCGCACATACACTACACGATGAAAGTAGGTACCTGGTAGGTATACGTTGTGGCTTTGTTTCAAATTATGCTGCAGTCGGAAAAAGGAACGCGTTTATATATCTGCGGTTAAAATAACCGTTTTTAATATGACACCAAGTAAAAATGCACTTCTAAATGCTAAAACATTTAATTAAAGAAAGTTTTCTTTGGCCACAAAGCAGGTAAAGACCTGGATACTATGTCTGATCAGTACTTTAAATTAAAGGAAAAGGAGGTAGATGAGAAAGAAGTAGAATGAGCCATCTCGCGTGACCGTGACCACCATGTCCGCATGTTCTGCATGTAAATACGTTGATTTTTGCTTGATACTTCCACACTCAACTTATTTTTGTATTTTGTGCTAATACTTTGCCAATCGAACACTAACAAGTGCAGATTATTACTCATCATTGGATACAATTGACTTGTGTACGTATCAGCTGCTGCGAAGGTGACGACTAGGTATGCGTGCGGTAACTGTTCTCAATCATTGACGGCTCGTTAAATGGGATACTTTTTTCCACACTGTTTATATCCTATACTTTACAGTGCCTTCAGATGTTACCCTTTAAACGTTCTAATAATTCACTTCATACAATATACATTTCTTGAAATTATATTTGCAAAACCAGAGGATGCTATTAGACAATCGAAGCAAAGAAATGCAATTTTCACGATTGTAAAGCGTCAGATTGAAACTTTTATTTTAGAAATCATCAACGAAAAATGACGATAGTTCTTATCTCCTTTTCTGCTTCAGGCGCTGTTTATTACTCTGCTTGTTCTTCTACAATGGGTCTCGTTAACAGCAACATTTTACGAAAACATTTCAGTCACAATTAAACATTGAAACATTTTGTTGTCAAAACGTCCCCCTACCTCTGGATCGCTTTGTGAGCTGAACAATTCCGGTTAATCATTTTCTGACTATGCAATTAAAGCTAGATGCTGGTCCCATTCCACTACCAGCTGTACGTTTTAATAATCTGCTAATTTAGTTCTGATTCTGAATGTAAAGGAAGGGAGACTGAAACACTTGTCGTCAACTCGTCAACCAGATTAGGTCGTGAGCTTTCAACAACAGGGCTTAATGTTCATTTAAATACAACACTGCTCATAAGTCCGGAAGATGATGAAGGCCAGAAATCCACAACTATTCTCCATTAGTTTCGGTTACATCTATCTTGACATCGTGATGCTGCTTGGATGATAACCGTTTTGAAATTAACTTGTTTCCTTAACTTGCCTCCAACGTTTGCCTCCCCTAGCGTAATTAAAAACGCGAGTAAGAGGAAATGTACGTAAGACCTTTTAAATTACCATCATTGTTTACGGACCACCAGCTATTTTACCTTCAAACAGATGTGGCATGCAGCTTAAACAATGAAATGAAATTTTAAGTGTATTTAGTTGAACACGAAAAAGACTTTGATGTGTACGAACTCCATTCACCATATTTCATTCTCTTTCATTAAGTACATAGTACATGGTGGGAACCTGTTTTCCTAAAATGTAAAAATATTTATTTTAACATTTCAAGAGAACTAATACCACTATACATCAGGATGAGTTCTTTAATATGCTAGATAGGTACATGATCAAATTCACTAGACATTGGACCCCCCATTCTGAATTAGCAAAGCAAGAGTATCTAATTGCGTATGATATCTTTTATAAGACTGTGGGGTAGCCAATTCTTCTAGTTGACTTATATTATTCTTGTCCAAATATTGTCGGACTCGATTTTATGCAATATTACGAGTTCATTGATTTATTAGATGATTATTTTCACTGGGCTTCTAACTCTAAAATTAGCATGTAAATGTAATTGAGTACAGAACCACCTGGGAATCTTCTGCCTAATTTCGTTCATTACGTGTAATCAAAGCCTCCTGTAGAGAATTATCAATGGAAGGCAATGAGAACTTCAATAAATTAATGCAGATGTAGGATGTATGACAAAATATTGAAGGAGTTTTATTATTGAATAAAAAACTAATTACTTATCGACTGTGTACCACTGGAGAAATACCTCATTACGAATTTACGTTTTTGGATGTAGAAGATAATATTGTGTTTTACATCATCATTTTTTGAAATTCCTCGTAATTACAGATGGTATATCAGTGTACTTATAATAAGAATAAGTCCATTTTCTTTTATATTAAGACCACACAATTTTGTCAAACTTGTTATTGTGGTAGGAAGATATCCCACATAGAAAGTTTTTGCCAAAGACTACAATCGGAATCACCGTCTCTGTTTCTATCTTGGCGATTGTCCAAACAGAAAAAAAGCATTCAAAAGTAGTATTGTCGTTCTAAAACTACGGAAAATAAGACTGAATTTAAGAGTTCCATTTCGGAGATATTTTCGACAAACGTCAATACACTCTATCATCTTTTAAATACCTTCAGACTATCGACAAAGTATCAGTTGCAAGCAAAAACATTAGTCGAACATTTTCTGTTTTTTATGGCATTCGTAACTTTTGTAATTGCGATTGTACTGGTCACAGATGCTCCCTGAGTGCGAGACTTTTGTAATCATCAGCAAAACTCTGACGATTTCAAAACATCGTTCACCGTATGAGAAGCGATAGAAAAAGCAAAAGAAAAGAAGGCCATCAAGTCATAAGAGTCATCATGGAGGAGTGAATTTATTTTTCGAGTGGTTTGCTCGTTCCTTTCTTCGAACATAACATCTTGCCACTTGTCTCTAAAAGCAAAAATATATTCGACGATATCTCCTTATGTATGGTCTTTTAGTAGCTCTATTTCGTCTTTTTGCAAGACTTTTTCAGCAACCACAAGTACAGGGTCAATAAATACATTTATTAGCTTTTTGAAATTTTGATACGTTGGTAATGATAGACTGGGTGGTCGGTCTGGAGGTGTTTGGGAATCAGAAACATAAAAGATACGTGCCCAGATTTATTAATTGTCTTTAGAAAGCAATAACATTTAACCAAAATATTATTCATTACAATGAGCTGAATTTATTTCAAACGTTCTCATGATTAACGGTGTGAACTTTGATCCATAAAATTCTTTTTTTGGCTTTATTAGTAAGCACTAGCTTAATCCTGTATTTATTAGTGATTAGTAAAGCAACACCAAGACGAAGATTGCTCCAGTCTTGGTCTTGTTCGTGTTTATTCGGTATTGGTCTTTGGCCTTGGGTGCGATCTTGGTCTTACTAGTATAAAGATGCTCTTGGTCTCGGTGTTGGTCTTGCAGTTTTTGCAGGAGCAATATCAAGATTGCAATACCAAGATCAATTTTGCTTATCACCAATATTTATTGATAATGATAATGAAATTTAATGAGCGCTTAGTTAAACATGGTTAATCAGAGTAAGAGTTGGGTTACTGTAGCTGTCTCGTATTCCTTGCATAATTCCACGATAGGGTGTATTATTATAGGTGTCGAGGTAGGAATAAGCAAACGACGGATGGACAGACGGGATGTACGGGTTGGGTCGCGTCCCGACCGACTAGTCGCGACGTTGCTGGCTGTTCGGGGACGCGTTGCCGTCGTCGTCCTTGTTGTTGAATTCGCTTCGACGAAGGCGCCTGGATTTTGGCGGCACCACGGACGAGCGTCGTTGTCAGTAGTGCGCGCGACGGCTACAATGTAACATCGGCGTCGCGATGCTCACGTTGGTATCGGAAGCGTTACGGTGCTGGATCCTGTCGGCTTTGGTGGTTAGGTGCGCCGTGGCGGGTAATCCCGACGCCAAGCGTCTATACGATGACCTCTTGTCGAACTACAACAAACTGGTCAGGCCGGTGGTCAACACCTCCGATGTCTTACGTGTCTGTATCAAGCTCAAACTTTCCCAACTGATCGACGTGGTAAGGTTTTTATTCCTACACCTGATCTCCTCACACTCAAAACGACAATTTTCATTAGATACTACATACTGAAGATTTTTCTTGACAGCTTTTAGTCAATGTATTACTCTCCATAAAAAAAATAAAAGCTCTGAAACTGAAGGTACTTGACCTCACAGATGTGCAAATTGTCTTCTCCTAAAATGCTTCGATAAACGTAAAGTAAATATTCATTAATCGTTAAAGTATCAGTCAAATAAATACGTTGACGGGCACACCTTGTAACAGAAAACATTCATAATATTTAATTTAAACTATATCCTTAAATCGGTTTTTCCAAGTCGAAAATCTCCGTGACTCGAATAATAAATTCCGTTGCCAGGTGGGTATCTACCTATTTGAGTAGATAGAAATGGTTGGGAACTTCTGTATGCTTTACAGTCGTCAGAAAATATTACTGACCAAATTCACAATAAATCATTTTATTTGATAGAAGTGTCTGTGGAAGAAGAAAATTACTATTTGATCACACCTGCGCCTGAAAGGCCGCTTTAATGTTTCTCGAATGAAAAAAAGATGACGTGCTCTACGAATGACCAGACTCGGAAAAGTTATTTCTTCTCATACTTTGTATTCAGTTTTGAACATTGAATTTTGGGCAATCAGATACATGTTAGTTAATGTCTGCCAAATGTAAAATTGATTTCTACTTGTACCATAGCTTATACAAGTAAGTACTAAGTGATAATTATTAGTTAAGATAGAAAGAACAAAAAGGAATTTCATCATCATAAGGTCGTCAGTCCTAAAACTGGTTGGATACGCACCTCCACTCTTTCCTATCCTGAGCTAATCTTCGCATTGGTTTCCCTAAAACTAGAACAACCCATATCCTTACTATTTACGAACAGTAATCTAATCTAGAACTACATTAACCCCTCCTATCTTCCGTTTCTGGCATTAATATGTCTCTGACTATATCTTCACGTCTGAGAAGGTGTCCTACCAAACTATCTAGTCTACTACTTATTAACTTCCGTAGAGTCCTCTATTCTTTTTAATACCTCTTCATTTCTAACTTTCTCTATCCACGGTATCCTCATCATTCGCCTGTAACATCACATTTGGAGCGCTTCCGAATCCAATAGAGTCAAGGCACAAGATCTGTTTTTTCTTTTGGAACCTGCACCCTCTAGTTTATACTTCGCCCTATATTATTTCGTACTTCATGTGCAACATATTTTGATTCTGCGCTTTCTAGGAGAAGTAATTATTTACAATTATTTTCAGCCTTTAATAGTAGTTGGAAGGCAGGTACGCAAAATTCCTTGAATGAAATTAAAAAATTCTTGAAAAGTTTCAGTTATATATTGTAACCGATCACACTTTAGATGTTTCATTTAACTTGTACAATTGTGGGTATCAGCGCCTTATTCTGATTCCTCAGATGTAAAATTTGATTGCACAAATACCCCATTGAATTGCATTTTCGATTACTCACAATGCATTTCTATAATTGGCATGATTCTCGTTCCACGGTCATTGTGATCGGAGTTTATAATAGAACCGTGACTTTAACAGGAAGAAAGGGGATGAAGATAAAAATAAAAATGATAACAATCGAGAATGAGAGACTCTGTTTTGGTTGCCTTCGCGTTCAGTAATTTTCTGGGAACAATAAGAACGTGTTAAACATATCGAGCAGTTGACAAAGTTTACGTCTTCCGCGTTTTGGAATCGGCACCAGCGCGAGGAACTCTTTCTTTGTTCAACGACGACATGAATCGATGTGCAAACTTGGAAGAAACTTGGCTCACAGTTGGAATACAATTGTGCGAAAATTCGTGGATCTTGCTGACTGTATTTCACGTTGAAAATTTCTTCCGATCCGCAAAATGCTTGCCGTTTGATTTCTGCTCTGTGGAAGTAAATGTACATAAGTATGTGTGCATGTTTGGTTCCTGTAGGGATACGTGTGTTTTGGTATTATTTATGGGATGCTTTCATCCGAATCCACGCTAAAAGTCGATTTTAAATTTAAGAAGTGATTGCTGAAAGGATTACCTGCCTTTCTAAGGAATTATAGACTTTAAAGGGCGATAAAGTTAACGTTAGTGGAAAACGATTTAGATTTAAACTTTGGAAGTCATTTAAGGAACTGGTTTACGATTTACAACAGAATGTAAATTATTCCGGGGAAAGAGAACAAGAAGGAATTTTAGGGAGACCGGAGCAGTGGTAATTTTAATGAATGAATAAACAGGTTCTTATTTCAAAGAGTAAAGAGCACCTTAGATAAATGCCTTCCATGGGTTTTATCTGTAGGTAAATTTAATAAAGAGTAGACCAATGATCAAATTCCCTTCCGTGTTTCCGATATTAACAATCAAAATATATTTCTCCTATTCAACACTGTGTTAGAGTTGTTAGCTTAACAATAAACCGACATCAGTCTATACCAGAGCCGGGCAAACTTTAACTTCGCAGGAGCCGCTACATGAGGTTAGTTTGAGTCACTCCATACCCTTCAATGAGTACGAGAGAGTAACCAGTAATGAATAATTTTGTCTTTTTCTTCTCCCTTCCACTCCCATATTCCCCTTCATTCCGTAGACGAGCGAAGCCTCTCTCGCAACTTAAATAATACGTACGAAAAATTTCGTTACTACGTTCGCAAAACTATTGGGTTTAGCTATGGAAGAGGGGACTCACCTACGAAATGGAAGGGATAAGGAAAAGAAAGAATCATCTCACTCGCACTCGCAGGATCAATGAGGAGCTACTTGGTTAACCTTGAGGAGCACTCGGGAGTCAAAAGAGCCGAGTTTGCCCGGCTCTGGTCTATACTATGTTCATTTTCGAGATAGATGAAACCAAAACAAACTTGACCAGGTGATTACCAAATAGTACGTCAGTACGGCAGTCGTTATTGGCCAATCTAAACGTGGTCGCTCATCTACTGAAATATTCCAGGGTCGTATTCAGTTACAATTCAATAAATGTATGACTTTTTTATTTATTTAATCTTCATCAGTGTATAGTATTTAAAATTTTGTTTTGTGTTTTTAGTCCTAAATACAACCCTGTTGATCATTTCCGTTTTCAATAATTACATATACGGTGCATGATTGTGTTTAGAGTCAATCTTTCTTGAAGTGAGAGTTTCGTACTTTTTCTCCTTTACATTTGATTCTAGAGTTATATGCGGTAAGTATATGGTTAGCAACTTTGATAAAACCCTTATTTCGTATGCCCATGTTACCGATATTTACCTCCGCTTTCGATTTTGTTTCCAAACTTTGATCTGAATTCAGCTTCGGAGAAATAGTTGAGGGTACTTTTGCATATGCAATTTTCATGCACTGAAGCAGAACAGCGTAATTCCCTTATTCCCTCGCTCGTAATTAATTTCAGCAATTTAACTTTTAGATTCAACTTTTGGGAGTCGAAAATCCGCGTTCGAAAAACTCATAACAGCGGCTAATTGATGTAGCAAACGATTTAAAAAATTACAGCCATTTTCTAGGTAATGGTATCATCATTGCTTCCGGATATTTCTTTATTTTTACGTTTAATGCAAAAGTGTGTAAAATAGGATTACTCAAAGCAATCACTTGGATGTGACTATGTCTCCCTTTTGAGTAAGCCAGGACTTAATTTTATAGAAAATCCATTTTTTAATTGTAGTAGTAATATTTTAGATAATAGAATAAAATAATTCGAAGTGGTCTGTATTCTGTCGAAACTGCCCGACGCGGATCGCGATTTCGATCTTTTTGGATCTCATCAGCGCGTCGCAGGCAGCTCCCACAGAACACAGACCAACCTTTACCTGCTGTCTTAACAGCGCGTTTTAAAAATACCACAAATGACGTGGTGAACGCCATCCGTAGTACGATGCTACATTTTCAGCAGGTAGATATGGACCTTGTTGGAGCATACGTAATCTTAAAATGTAACATCGTAGTACAGATGGCGTTCACCACGCCATTTGTGGTATTTTCTAGTAATATTTTGTCAAACGATATTTCAAAAATCGTTTCTCCTTCGTCAGTCCGGAGGCCATAAGGAAACTTTGCGTCTGATGCAAGACGAGACAGTTTATATGGTCCAGAATACCTACCTATAAATTGGATATTGGATTCTAAAACTGTAGTCGATTCTTTCTTTTACTATTTTTCCTATTTATAAGGAAATTGGGTGTGAAAGACAAATCGGCAGAAACTGAACGAGTCGAGGGGAGAATCAACGAAAAGAGAACCGAAAGATAAAAGATTTATTGCATGACACGTAAAGTTCTGGACATCCGTACACTAAGCCTACTGCTTTCTTTTCTGTAATGATGGAATAGATGTGACCGCATGGATTAGACCGACTTACCGACAATCTACTATAAAAAAAGGCGAAAAGCCTAAAAGGTAATACTTCTTGATCTTTATCTCCAAACAGTTATAACACATGTATTTTACCAAACGAATATCACGTTGCTGAAATATTTTGTCATTGGAACAGTTTGTGCGGTATATTTTGACAATAATATCGACATGTGATACCTCCAAAATGCACAAAAGTAAAAAGCAGTGTTGGATGCAATTATTTTAGGTATATATCCTTGAAGACATTCCCCATTTCTGGGAATGCACTTGACCCATCTCTAATAAAAGCATTCCTGGAAGTCCTTAAAAGTCAAACTTTTCAGGTTGTTTAGCATTCTACAGTTATCACATCACCCCTTGCCGTTCCCATATGATATTTTTGCACTTACGTAACAATAATAAACGGTAAAGGGATACGTCAGGCGAGTAGGGAGAGTGATCTGCTGTAGGATTGAACTACAAGTCAGAAACTCACGGACACTCACTGAGTGAATCTGCAAAAGTATCAATCTCATCCATTACCCTCACATAAAATTGGATTTATACGATGCAGAAGGCAGGATTTAGTGATTACCATTTGGAAGGAAATTCGGCATATGGGGTAGGAATAGTTTTGTTTCCTTCAACACATTAGGGCGGCCGTCA